CCAACATATCTATTCTTCACATGTCTTTTCAGCAGCTATTTTAAGTTCTAGCTAAGTAAGAAAAAGAAACAGGAAAGGAAGACACAAGTCATTATTTACAAGTGACACAATTGTATACACTAAAAATCAAAAAGATTATTGGTAAACTGAATTGATTGACTTTGATAAGATCACTAGATACATATTTGAATCGTGTACCTTTATTCAAGAATAGAAGAGATTGGGCACCTTCAGGGTAGCATGGCTGTAGACTATTCTAGAATGGAAAGTGATGTATTTAAAATAGAAAATTATAATAGCACCAAAAATAATGAAATATTTAGAAGTAAATTTTTCAAAAGATGTGATATATATGAAAACAAGAGACAAGAAAAAAAAAGATGTGGTATAGGACTGGAGATATAGTATAAGTAAGGCCCTGGGTTAAAAAAATGTGATATAAAACATTGTTGCCAGAAAAATGTAGAACTCCTAACTAAATGCAATAGTCTAGGTTCATGGGCTATTAAGGTACCATTTTCTTCCAGAATTGCTTTATATATTTAATGTAAATTTAGTAATGTCCCAGAATAGTGGAAATTGATAAACATTCTAAACACTTACATGGAAATGAAAATGATGAGCAAAGCCAAGACAATTTTGTAGAACTAAAGCTGAGTGCTAATATAAAAAACTATAATGCAGTTATAGTTATTAAGGCAGTGTTCTACTGGTACAAGAATAGAAAATAGGCAAATGGGTCAGAGAGATCCACAGAGATAATTTAATTGTTCAAAGATGCAATAGAGCAAAGATATCTTTTTGCTCCTAATAGAATGATCCTGGGACAACTTTAGCATTACATGAACAATGAAAACTGATCCCATACATCACAAAACAAAACAAAAATCCCAACTCTAGATGGATCTAGATGTAGAAAATACGACAATATTTTAGACAAAAATTTTAGAAAGAGGGAAATCTTTTTTAAATAAGGCCCTAAAAAGTATTCCCTTGGCCCCATAAAGCTCTAAATTTCATTGATGTGGTAAATCCTCAAAAATTCATAGGAATTCTCTTCCGCACTCTGGAGTTTCCCAACAAGGCCTCCAGCACGCACGGCAATCCTTGCTCATCTGATGTGATTTGTGTAATTCTTTCCATATAGTAGATTATTGTATTCATCAAGTTTAGAACTAAAACTATGCAGATTGAGTTTCTATTATCCAAAATTTGGGGGACCAAAAGTGTTTTGGACTTAAGATTTATTTCAAATTTTGAAGTATTTGCATATGTATGAGATGTTGGGGGAGGAAGCCCAAGGTTAACCACAGTGTGCATTTATAATTCACATCATACACAAATAGCCTAAAAGTAGTTTATGTAATGTTTTACATTTTTCACACAAAGCAGTTTCATGGTATGAAACTTGTCCTTTATGTTAGCACTTGAAAGGATTAGGATTTTGGAACATTTCAGGTTTTGGATTATCAGATTAGGAATGTACTGTGATAGAAGTTAGAGAGGCAGTGTAGTCATGGGATAGCTGTAAATAGTTTTTGCTATTTATTCTAATTGAATGAGTGCTTTTAGAATGTATTTCCTGATAAAATTGGGGGAAAACATGCTCATCCCATCAGTCAGTTCGAACCAGTTACTTGAGCTCACATTTTTATTCTCCTGTAAGATTTCACACCTGGAACAGCAGCTCTAATTAAGGTTATTTTTTGGCTGCATTGTAGTACTGCTTTTTTTCCTCCAAAAGTCGTTAGACTTTCATAAAGTGAGTACAGTGAATTAAATGAGATATATAGAGAATCAAAAAAGGCACTAATGGTTAACATTCTGTATTATTTTTGTTCATTATTGTTTTTCGTTTGTCTCTTTGAGACAAGGCTTCACTATGTAGTTCAGGCTGTCCGTGGATTCACTATGTAACCCAGGCTGATCTTGAACTCACAGTGATCCTCCTTCCTCAGCTTCCCAAGTACTGGGATTACAGGTGTGTGCTACTACACCCAGCTTCATTCACTGTCTTGACTATGCAATTTTATAGACTTGCTGTTGGTTATTTTGATAGCTCTTATTCTATAGGACAAGGAACAGATGGGATGTTGCTGTAACTACAAAGTATGTCTATTTTTATTATTCACTTAAGAATTAGGGAAATGGCCATCAGATGGGACCATATTCTTAGTGAACTCACTGTAAGCCAGACCTGGGTAAGGGCTTCATAAACTGTCTGGTTTTTGTATATTGCATACCACCTAGAGCCATAATCATATTTTGGGGTAATTCTTGCTATGGGGTGATTCTTGCTATGGGGTGATTCTTGCTATGGTTTGGATGAGTGTCTCCCAAGGTCTATATATAACTTTGGTTTATTTATTTTTATTTTTTTTTATTTTAGGGAAGGGTCTACAGGGTGTTCAGGGTCTCACTACTGGACTGGACTCATAGTGATCTGCCTGTTTACAGCCTCCCAAGAGCTGGCATTACAGGCATGCACCACCACGCCCAGTCTGGTCTGTATATAACTTGGGCATAGTCCCTAAAGTGATGGCAGTGGGAGGTGCTATGGAATTTCAAGATGTGAAGCCTAAGGGGAGGTCCTTACACCCCTGAGGCCTTATGAGGGATTGTGGGATTGCAGTCTCTCATGCTCCCCACCCTCTTCTCTCCCTGCCGGCTTGAGATGTGATTGCTTACACAGCATGTTGGAACACTCTTATCATGATGTGCCACATGCGCAGAGTTCCGAAGCTGACTTGAACCTTGCAAGAAGCTGAAACTTGAGCCAACTTGGAACCTGTGGTGCCATAAGCCAAAATAAACCTCTCTTTATTTGATAAAGAGCCTCTGTCAGTTATTTCATAATAGTGATGTTGTCGTAGTCAGTGTTTTTTAACTGAAACAGGAAGGTGACAGCTCTAACCTTTTTTTTAAATAATAAAATTCAATAAATTTTATTCTTTAATAATAAAAATTTGCTGAATACATTATTTACATGTTGCCAAAGTCCAAAGCCATACAAAACACCACAAGTATCTGAATCTACACGTGGTTCCATCATATGGGAGGTAGGAGCTGGTTAGCATACAAAGATTAAATTTGTGTTTTGGCACTGTTCATTAATACTAACCATCAGCTCTGAGACATTCTTCAGCTAGAATTTTCTTTTTTTTATGGTTTTTTTTCCATAATTTTATTGAGAAACAAATAGCAATGAGACAGTTTCAAACCAAATTGGTAGGATACTTTCAATAATTAACACATTACATACATTCTTCCTAGTGGTTAGTTGCTGTACATGATGCAGACATGATATTCTATTTACAAACAACATTAGAACAAATACCTCTATTCATTAAGAGAATGTGACTATATATCTATCCCAACTACTTTGAATACACAGATACAAAATGGATATTCATCTGTATCCCCCTTTTTTGTTAAGTTCTGTTATTTGAATATTATAGGTGTGTAAACCCAGCAAAATATTCTAAAAGAATCCAGTAGCCCATAATAGTATTTGGTCTTCCACTTGACTGGCAGTGTCAGAAATTGTTGACCTGAGTTCCCTACAGCACAACATAACAGCATGGCTTTACTTCTTATATTTCGTTTTTATACTTTTCTGCTGGATGGTTAAGACCAAGATAAAGCAGGACCTATGCAACAAGAGTTGT